AAACTCTGCTTCTCTCTTTTGAAGACTAGTTATTCTGGTCTAATGTTCATTATGCGTTCATTTATATGTTCGCTATTATACTATATTTTCTGATGGCTCAGGCTATTTCTGGCCAAATGATGTTCAGTCCACCACAGGATCTTGTTTGGATAATCTTATTTTTGAGATGGAGGTTCGATTCCTCCCAAGATCGTGCTACTGGTTTTATATTCTGAATAAATATGAGCATTTGGTCCGGGTTTTCTTCAACGTCTATATGCTGATCCCTTGGTCTGGTTGCGTTCAGTGATTAGTGTATTGTCATTTCTCCCTCCTGGTATCCGGAAAATCAACGATCTTGTATGGGTTGATACTTCTAAGTCCTCTTGGATAACCAATTCATACATAACGATAATCAAAAAAGCTAAAAAACGGAAACAGAAACTTCAACTGTTGCTCGTATTTACAAAATTCGCGTCATCATAACCTCAAGAAAGCCTACTCGGATATTGCTAATCACTACAGCATAGAAACGCCACCTTAAAGAAAAAACCATTCAGACACTACAACATTGTAGCAGAATTATGCTTTCGCACAGGTTGCGAAACTTCCTTCGACTATCATAAATTCATGGAGTACGATGAGAAAGCAACAGAGCATGTGTAAATATGCTGACCATCAACACGGGAAAACTCATGAATTTTGGAATTTGAAAAAAGGATATACATGAAGATGTATGAAAGAACCAAACACAGTGTAAGTTTTCTCGTTAAAGATAGAGTTTTAAAATATTATATACTATTTTAATTTTTTAATAAAAGCAATTTTTCAAAGAGCATAAAACGTCCTTGTTGGAAGAATTAAATAAAAGAGGAAAGATGTCATCAATCGAAACGAAAAGAAGAGTCAAGGCTGATATAGACATTGTCGTTATGCCAAATCTTCCGAATACATAAAAATCAAAAATGAAAATTCCAATACCTACCCGATTTATTTTATTTCTAGCAATTTATGCATTAATTAAAAACTATATTCAATTAATATTTGTCGGCTCTCAATTTGCCTTTAATACTGCATCAATCTTCCTTGGCATCGAGGCAATAACCTCTTCAAAAACTGAGACATCAAGTTTCTCCCATTTCTCTTTTAACACGACCTTAAGTTCATCCACAGTCCTCGGAAACCTTATGATTTTGAACATTGTCCTTCAACACTTTCCAAATGCTTTCGATTGTATTCAAGTCTGGCGAATTTGCCGGCCAGTTGATACTCGGAATTTGATTTTCCATCAGCCAATTCTTGATTTTTCCCGCGCCGCAGTATGTATTGGTGCGTTGTCCTGTTGAAAAATCGTGTAGTTTCCCGGATTACGTTCTGAAATGGCAATAAATTGGTTTTTAAGATTTTAAGGTAAGTATTTTTTCGTTATTTTTTATATTCATCGCAAAAAATTAACGATCCTTTTAATCCTCCCGCGAAACATCCCAAAGCCATTACGGATTTTCGACCACTTTTAAAAGTGGATACCAAGTATTGTTATACTTCTCTCCTGGATGCCGCCAAAATCTTAGCTGTTGTGACGGCTTCCCAATTTCCACACTCGTCTCATCAGAAAAAAATACCTTTCGTCCAATAATAAACATTTTTATGCTTACTTTCCTCACACCCCTTAGAACGAGCATACGCATGTATTTCTGAGAGAAAGGGTTTCTTTGCTACAATACGTTGCTAAGGGCTGGCGGTCTTCCGAAATTTGGTAAGTTTTCACTTTTTCCCGTCTTTTTGTATTTGGCGTATTGATGTAGGGTCACGTCAAAACATTTTTGCGTATTTTAGGTCTGAAATGTGTGCCATGTTACGCCGATCCCGGCAAAATTCGGAAATTAACGTTAAAGGTTGATTTTAAAGTTGGAATAAGGGTTAGGGTTAGAGCGGAGAACAAAGCTATATGTAAAATTATCTTCTTGATAATTTTCATTAGTACTCAAAGCTAGATTTAAGCATTTATTCCGCATTTTTTGTTTGCTCACATAACAATATTATGATGTTATGATAGGAGAAAACGAAATGTTTAGCCTCTAAAGTATCAGTTTGTATGTTCCAAACGAAGGTAAACTTATATTTAATGTTAATTTTTTATTGGCTTCATTAATTCATTATTATTTTTTCTTTTTAATTGCAAAACAGAAATTAATAAATATGAAAATATATCGATATCGAGCTTTTTTCTAGACTACTACAACCTTATAATGAAACATTTCCGATATCGTACCCTTTATTAACGTTAGATGAAACTGGTAAGAATTAAATTATATTTTATTGAATTAAATAGCAATATTATATTGTTTAGTCTGAAAACATGTTCTAATTGAATCATATTAACTGGGGTTTCCCAACGACCAAAAGCGACTTCTATTTCTTTGTGTTTGCACATACAGTGGCCGTCATACGTTTTGCATCACGTAAATAAAAATAATAATAATAATGGTAATACATGTATCTCGTGATTTTACACATTATTAACATGTGCAAATAACTATTAATATATACAAAAAGGGAAACTAGAAGTTCCTTAAAATTCATTTAATTACTATTTTTGGTAATAAATCAACATATAATTTACAAAAATGTAATATGCTGGCCCTTCGTCGTAATCATCATCATCAGAATATCCAATCACCCTAAAATTGATATCGATAGCATTCGGTCCGAACAACGCGACCTTCCTTCACCCAAATTGCTCAGTCGAATTACACGAAAATTTCATCAAAATAAAATTAGAACGAGATGGTTACGAGAAAACCACCATTGATATCTGGAAAGAGAGTATCGAGGATATTGAGTGTGTTGTTGAACAACCGGAAGTTAGTGCTGCTGCTACTGCGGCTGGTGCTTCTCCTCAGTTGTTGTTAGTTAAAGCATTGGTCACGCAGTATTTGACGCGGTAGGTTTATATTTCAGCAATGCGTTTTTTTTAACTGTTTGTTCGTTCAAAAGTAAATCTCAAATTTTATAACAAAACATAACTCGAATAATATATAAAAGTTATACCTATTGATATTTTATTTTAATAAACATGTCACTAAATCAATATGGGTCGTATCACTATCGAACAAAGATCACGAATTTCTGCCCCTCTTCAAAAAGGGTTCTCTTCTCGTTATATCACATCAAAAGAAAATCTTCTGTTATCTGACTTAAAACAAAACAATAAAAACTATGGTTCTGTAAAAGATTTACCAAAATCTGGTCACACACGATTTTTTACAGTCTGTGATGAATGTAATATTATCCCTTTAAGGGTATACAGAATGATGTCATCAAAATGTGTTGATCATCAGCAAAAATATATGGTTTTTCAAACTGATACAAATTCTTCTCTCTACTCTTGCTAAACTCTAGTAGTTTTTCAATTTCTTGAAGAATTTACTTAGACTGCTTACAATAAAATCTTCGAATGGTGTTAGGAATGCTATCAAAAATAAGAATGATTTGAGAGAATATATATATATATACCTTTTTTTATTCGACGGAATTCTAAAAAGTCTTTTAATTCTTCGATGAAGATTCATTTTTTTAATATTTTTTGTTTTTAGGCAACTTGTTCAGATAGTTTTTGAGAAATATTCTCCGCAGTATTTTTTCGAACAAGATTCGCTAGTTTTCGAATGTTATAGAATGAGGTCATCAAAATGTGATGATCATTGCAAATTTTGAGAAGTTTTGAGAAGATACATATAAAACTTTTTTTCTTTTTTCAACGGAATCCTAAAAATTCTTTCAGCTTCTTCGGTAAAAGTTTACCTATCAATTACTTTAGTTTTGAGATAACTTATTTAGACCATTTTTAAGAAAAATGGTAATATCATTGCGATTTTTGAGAAGTTTTTGAGAAGATACATATAAAACTTTTTTTCTTTTTTCGACGGAATCCTAAAAATTCTTTCAGCTTCTTCGGCAAAAGTTTACCTATCAATTACTTTAGTTTTGAGATAACTTATTCAGACCATTTTTAAGAAAAATGGTAATATCATTGCGATTTTTGAGAAGTTTTTGAGAAGATACATCTAAAACTTTTTTCTTTTTTCGACAGAGTCCTAAAAATTCATCCAGCTTCTTCGAGATAACTTATTTAGACCATTTTTAAGAAAAATGGTAATAAAATTCCCGCAGTACTTTTAAATATCCGTGTGTAGGATCCGGTACGAAATTCCGACACAATAAATCTCGACAATCGATTAACCTGACAAACGTAACGGTAATCCCAAACTCACAAAATCCCAAATACAGAATCCTGACGTTCAAAAATTAAAAGCATGACATTAAAAGAAGTAAACCACCGGTACCAATATGCAATTTCTACATACATACCCTAGCTTTATGTACATAACATCAGTGTTTTGAGCTGTAAATGTTGGGATTTTATATATCGGAATTTTTGAATCGTCGGGATTTCGTTTGTCAGGTTTATCGATTGTGGGGGGTTGTGTTGCTAGGATTTTGGACGACATTCGTGTATGCGTAGCTTGATTTTGCAACATAGACATACGTACATGTATTTGACACTCAAAATTCACGCTTTATAAAGGCAATCCTGCTGAACCGAATTGGTTAGTGCAATTTAACGAGGCGGGATTTACTATCGCTGTTTCTGTAGTTTATCGAGGTTTTAATTAGTGCTTCGATTAAACGGGGGTTGACTATATATCTAGAAATAAGTAAAATACTCAATATACATGTACTATGTGAAATACGGATTACCAACCAAGCCAACATCGTAAGAGTACGGCATTTCCGTTTTGAAATGATTCCATGAACCACAGAACAGCACCAACAATTGAAGAAACATCGAAGAACGAAAGAACTTTATCAATAATACAGCTAACATCAGCTCGATCTAACTAAACCGCAAGCGGTAATTCAGAGGAATCTTAACTGACTACGAATTTAGAAACTTATGATGACTGGGAAACATCGACGAAAACTCGCCAACGAGAAAAAACACAAGCTACAAATCCACTACGATAGAAAATCTACTGCAAAGAACTTACCTCACCAAAATCAAACTGGAAGAAGCCGTATCTGTCAACGAAGAATACTAGCACAAAATGTCAGCGAAAATGGCCAACCAATAACAATAAACTGAATGGAAAACGTCGCCCGACCAAAACAACAGCAAAGAGGACCGAAGTCTTCGTGCATACTCTGATTCGTAACATTAGATTATCATTACGTATTGTTATTATTGATTGACCATAATGGAAATCAATCATGTTTACAAATAATACCGATACGTACATGCATATAAAAATCTAGAAAATCTTTCAACTTTTTTCCCGCGCGTTATTATTATTACGTGTATTTTTTCTAATGTCAAAGTGGGCTAATGCACTTGTTCAACAAATAGGATTGCTTATAAACGTCCTAATGGCAGCTGGCTAGTTAGAGAGATTAAAAGCCTTTATGTATTAGATATTCATAAAGAGTTTCGTGAATTTCAGTTGGACAAAGATTTTGATAAAAATGTTAAAATTTCAGAACTCAATAATATAAATACAGGATATGTTCGTGTTAAAAATTCGGTAAATTTGGACAGCACCTGGATTCCACTTTTGCCTGGCTATACAATTTATACAAAAGCAAGCAACCATTGTTACAAATTAACTATTAGTGAAGAAAATCAACGGCTAGTTTTTCTTTGGGAGGATTATGAAACTGATGAAACAAATAAAAAAAAGAGGAAAAGAATTTTTAGGATTTCATTTATTTATTCGACAAAACAAACTTCAAAACACATCACTTTATTCTCTTTTGGGTCTTTTTCATTCGGAAACTATTGAACTTTTACAAACAACACTTCATAATGTTTTTTCTAATCTATACAGTCATCTACGGTGTCAACAACTCTTTCACAATCTGATTCTTCTTCTAAAAACTTCAATCTGCTATCAAAAAGGAAAATACTCTTATAAATAGTATTCAAAGAAAAAAACGAGAAATTGATATGATATTATATGATGATGATAATGATGACGAAGAGGAACATGTTCAATTTGGTATTCAATTAGATCCTTTCGGAAAAGTCTTGTCACCATTAAGTATTCAAGCATTAATGTTAAAATATAATGCTATTCAACAAGCACTGTATACGGCTAATCGAAAAATTAAACGGTTGAAAGAAAAAATCAATAAGATTACAAATAGAGAAGATGATGAATTCGAAAATTCTAATGATATTCAACAACAAAAAAAGGAAACTTTATCTGAAGTTGTAAACAAAATTATAATGGATAAAAAATTAGGTTCAACTTTATTCGTCAATACACAACAGTATCTATCACTTATTCTTTCTATTCCATGTGCCTCATGTAAGAACTCTACTTTAGAATATGAAAAAATTCATTTATCAGTAGCTGGATTTAATATTAAAATCTCAATACAATGCAATCAATGTGGAACAATTATTGAACATACCAATCAAGCACCAGGAATTAACATTTCTCATTTGGTAGCTGGTGCCACATTAGCAGGTGGAATGAATCGACAGGCTTTTCAAACAGCATTGTCATTAATTGGAATTACAAATCAAAGTTGTTCTCGATCATATTATTTGTATCAATCAGCCATGTTTAATGGAATTGTTCAATTTGCTAAAGAAAATACACGTGAAATATTATTAAAAGTTTTAGATCATATTGAAAAAAAGCAACCTTCTATCAAAAAACTTTCTCTTGGTTTTATTGATGAATCACATTGTATTCTCGATTGTCAAGATTTTAGGTATATTTATTATTTTAAATTATATATTATTATATATTAATATAAATATTAATAATTAATTTTATAGAAATTCATGGGGAAATTTAAATATTATATATGAAGAATGGCCCAATACTCCACTTATGTTATTATCTGCAACAGTAACACGTAATGATGTTGAACAAATTATAAAGAATTTAAAATTCCTATTGATCATTGAAATATAATTTGAGGCACTTCTTTCACATGGGATGAATTAATTTTTGAAATCCAAAAAAGAAAAGATGCTAAATTAGTTTTTATTGATGAAATTAAAGAAGGTCGAATTATAATTTTATTGTGCTACTCATGATAATTGTGATGAATTATTACAATTATTACAATCAAGAATGACAAATATTGATTTTGATATTTATCATGGAGATCTTGATGATATTCAAAAACAAAAAGTAATATTACGATGGAAGCAAGATGTAACAAAAGTTATGATAAATACTTCAGCATTTGGAATGGGCATTAATTCTCAAGATGTTCGTTGTGTTATTTTTGCATCTAGTCCCTTATCAATAAGTAAATATTAATTATTAAAGTTTTTATTTAGAATAAAATTAACTTTTTATTAATATCAATTAGACAAATTAATTCAGGGAGCAGGTCATGCAGGACGTGATGGTTTACTATCAAAAATTTTTATATATTATTCTGGAAGAGATATCTGAACAAATTATGGAATCATTGCAAATAATCGAGCAACGTAGGTATCATATTCTTTTTAAATCAAATATTTATATTTGATATTTATTATATATTTTTTTAGAAATCAACATAATGATAATGCATACAAACATGTTTTAGAAAAAGGTGCCAAAAGTATATTTGAGGTACTCTTTTTTTGTTGCACTCAATATATATGTCATATTCAATTACTCACGAAATATTATTTATGGGAAGAGGATGATAACTGTTCAGAATGCAACAAATGTGATAATTGTATTGCACGAATGAAACATGATCCTCATTTAGTTGATGTAAAAAATAAAGTTATGGAATTATTGGAGGTGGTTGAAACATTAATCTCAGAATTTGATGAACAAATAATTACAGATGATATTGTTGATGTTTTTACCCGTGCTACTAATGCAAAAATGAAGCGAAAAGGATTTGTTAATTTGCGAGTTTATCAAACTTCTAAATCAAAATTGTTAAAAACAAAAGATTTAGCATTTTATGTATTATCAGATTTGATTTTGCGAGAATATGTAAAGCAAAATATTGTATTACATTATCCTAATCAGAGTTCGATTTTTTTAGCATGTAGTACATTCATTTGTGATGTTATTCCTGGAGCACTTGCAAAAGCAAATATGGATACTTGGAAATATTGGATACGTTAATATTAAATTTTATTAATCTATAATAAATAATATATAGATATTATTAGTTTAGTAATTTTTATTTTATGATTTATTAAAATATAATAATAATAATAATATACATAAAATTTGTAACACTGCGCGTAATAATAAAATTGGTCATTATATGTATATTCAAAAAGATCGACATACTATCTACTCTTAAACATTCTAGCAGGGCAGGCAAATTTGCTCACTAAAATTATTTTTGACCTGTTTTTGTGCATTTACTCCTAATTTTTATAAGCTTGACCCCCCATTTTTCTAAGCTAAAATAAAAATATAAAATTTGTAATTTTTATTTATAAATTGCTCAAAATATTTGATTCATTTTGTATCAATTCTATAATTTAATTTTTTAAAATTTTATGTTTCTGGGAAGAAAAAATTTTTGTCAATAATTAAAGCTAAAATTTTATTAGTAAAATTATAAAAACTGTAATAATAAACATTATTCTATATGATAAATTTTATAATTTGTATTATGATTTATAAGGGGGTATGCATAAGTTTATCAAAAGCTAATGATAAAAATTTTTTAAAATTGCTTCTTTTTAGCTTATAGATAACTCTATTTTTTTATAATTATTATAAAAATTATGTTATAATATATAATTAAAGCTAATATTAAACAACTTTTTTTAAAAATATTTTAATTTTTGATGAATATATATTAGATATAAATTTATCGAGTGGTAAATGTTTTAATGTTGTATCGATTCAAATAAATTACAAACTAATAATAAAATCAATGTAAGTGATAGTACTATAAGAAGAACATTACTTAGAAATGGTTTCTCTGTTAGAATTAAATGAAAAAAATCATATTTGAAAAAAACATCGAAAATTGCGTTTAAAATTTGCTAAGAAATACAAGGATTGGACAGTAGATGATTGGAACAGGGTGATTTGGTCAGACGAGTCTAAGTTTATGATACATGTATATGGATCAGATGATCGTGAATATTGTTGGAAACGAAAAATGAACCACTAGATGAAAAATCTACTGTTACCGGAAAATAACAAATTTTGTCAATCTCGTGATTTCCGAAGAGGCTCGCTCATCTTGATTAACTTCACCTATCCGAGCCTCTTTGTGTAATGTCCTGCACTTCCTATTTCAGATCCACTTCTGTTTTTCTTTTCCATAATAGTAATTCGCTTGTAACATTCGCTTTTTCTCTTCCCGTTTTTCGCTTCCAAATTCACTTTTTTTATTACCCGTTTTTCGCTTTTAAATTCGTTTCTGTTTATCCATCCATTTTTAGCTTTTATCTATCACCCGTATTTCGCTTTTATTTTCGTTTTACTCACGAATTCACTTTCAAAATTCGCTCTACACTTCGCTTTTATTTATCACCCTTAATTATTTTATCTCATCAACAATAATGAATAGTGTAGATAGCTCTAAAAACACAAAAGCAATAGTAAACAAAAAAATGTATAAATAAAGTCTTCAAAATATTAATAAAAGAAGAGAATAAAATTGTGTACAATTCTTCTCAAGTAAATTAGACTTGTAAAATCATCGTAATTAATTGTGGTTAGATCCTTTGATCCAGAAAAGGCATTGTTAATGATAAAAACAGCATATTGATCGATTGTAAAGCATTTTGTGTAGAATAGTTTAGGGCTTTTAGCTAGAAAAGCAAATTGTTATTTTTAAAAACTGATAATTAAAATATCTATTAATAAAAGAATAAAACCCAAATTTTCTTACCTATATAATTTTATTCAAGTCTCTCTCTCCCTCTCTCTTTCTCTTTTTTCCCCTTCTCCCTCTCATTTTCCCTCTCTCTTCCTTCCCCTTTCTCACTATTAGTATAACAATATCCGTAGATATTGGCACAAGAGTTAGACATCAATAGTCACCTAGTCTAATCACCCTCCCAACTCATTGTTGTAGGTAAAATCGTTGATTACGCCTAATTACGATCTACTCTCAACACTACAGTCAAATTTGATGGTGGAAGTATTATGATCTGGGGTTGCTTTTCTTCCTTCGGAGTTGGTAACATCGTACGCATTTTTGGCACCATGGATAAGGAATTATACTGCGAAATTTTGAATGATGACTTGTTAGGAACTATCGAGTATTACGAGTTGGATAAGAATAATATCGTTTTCCAACAGGATAACGATCCGAAGCACACGGCTAATTTAACGGAGCAATGGTTTTACGATAATATTGAGGTATTATAATGGTCACCACAATCTCCTGACCTCAACCCTATAGAACCTCTCTGGAATGAGATGGGTATACGTTTGAGAAGGTTAGCAAATCCAGTTCGTACTCAAGATGAATTATGGGAAGCTATTCAAAAGATATGGATAGAAACAGATCATAACTTTCTAACTAGTCTAATTGAAAGTATGCCCGAACGAATAAATGATGTAATTGAGGCTAAAGGAGGATATACAGAGTGGAATAGTTTATTTAAATTTCGTAGATTTTTAGCCGTTAGTTATATAAATATTGGTTTTAAATTATTTGCATCGTAAACAGTCAAAAAAAACGCATCATGTAAAATTGCATCGATCATTATTATTTCTTTAGTGATTATTAACTAAATAAAGAATCATATTTACATGTTTTGCAAAATTTGTTTGGTAAACAATATGCGTCGGAATTTGTGAGTTTCAGATGTTTGTAATGTTATTGAATTTACAATTTTATTTTTTGTGTGATACAAAACATTTGACGGCCATTGTATACGTACGTATTTATCCTTATATTTAACCATTACGATCCTCTAGAATTTAACGAGTACATATATAGTATCATTTCACACACATGGGCAAATTCATATAAATAAGGAACTGTGTATCTATGTTCTATAGAATTGACAAAGCGAATTACCATTCTTAATCGTTATATCTCATAGAAATTCAATTTATATTAACGTGCGTAAGAACTACATGAAGTATGACATACGTATTACGCATTTATGCGCTCTGTCTCATTTTTCATGCATAGAATGGATGCTACTCTTCTTTTAACACACACAAATGGAATTTTTATCGTTATCGTTTAATGCATATTGTGGCGTACCGGTAATGTATTCCTGCAATTCCTGCATAAGTCGATTTACAAACACAAAGGAAGAAGGAAGTGAATAACAACAACGACTTCCATACATATAATATATGAATCATCGTTTTTTAAATAACACTGCCATAATCACTAATAAAATAAAGTCAAAATGGTTGTAGTGAATGCGAGTATTGTCGAAACGATTATTGCTGCAGTATATTGTTACACCCTTCGGAGATGAGGGTAACGCTTGATGAGGCTATCCACTATGGTTGCCTCAAAATATAAATATTGGCGTCCTTTTATTCTTTTTCGAAACAGTTTACGAATATGGGTATGCAAATTTTATTTAATATTAGCGTTAGCGTAATTAATTATGATTGCTTAATTTTTAATTTTTGTATTGATATAAGATACCGCTATTGTTGTTAATGCTCATACTCCATTACCATCTGCTGGATTTAACACTGATTATGGGACACGAGGACCTTCACATCGAGCAGGTCTAACTGCAAGCCAATCAATTGTCCATGTCATTAAAGCCTCTTGGATAAATATTCTTTTGGTTTTCGTCCCACTCGGAATTATTTCTCATCATTTGCATTGGGGAGAGACTTTGACTTTTTCGTTGAATTTTTTAGCCATTATTCCGCTTGCAAAAATTTTGGGACTAGCCACGGAAGAAATTGCATTGAGAGTTGGTCAGGTATGAATTTAGCAGCTGTCCAAAATTCAATATTAAATACCAATAGCTATTTTTTTTTTACTTAGACAATTGGTAGTCTTTTGAACGCAACATTCGGAAATGCTATCGAATTGATTATTTCAATCTTTGCCATTCGTCAAGGCCAAATACGAGTTGTCCAAGCTTCAATGTTGGGTTCAATTATTACAAGTCTGTTGTTGGTGCTAGGAACGTGCTTCGTAGCAGGCGGCTATTATAAAGCAGAACAAAGTTTCAATCAGACGGCAGCTCAAACCAGTTCAAGTTTGATGACATTAGCATGTATTGCTCTGATTATTCCCGCGGCATTGCATGCAGCCGTAGATGCCGACAACCATAAAGAAATTCTCGATTTGAGTCATGGAACGGCGATCGTTTTGCTTGGTGTTTATGGATTTTATTTATATTTTCAAGTAAGTAGTATTATTTTTAACCATATAGCACGTTAAAGTAACCTCCCGTAAAACTTTGCCACTTAATTTAACATCAAAGCCGTTCTTTGGTGATAAATACTTTTGAAGAAATTGCATTGTGGCAGAAAAATAATCGGTTTTTACTAAAAATTAAGGGTATATAGGAAAAATAATCTTTTTAATTGAAAGGCTAACAAATTCGATATTTTTTTCATAGTTGATATCTCATAAACATCTTTACTCAGAAATTCCAGAGGAAGGCGAAGAACAGCAAGAAGAGCAAGAAGAGAAAGAAGAGCCACAACTTACATTACAGTTGTCACTTGGATTGTTGGTAGGTGCAACACTCGTAGTTGCATTCTGTGCTGAATATCTCGTTGATTCAATCGAAGGTATCGTCGAATCTTCGGGTTTGAGTAGAACTTTTGTTGGTCTTATTCTATTACCGATAGTCAGTAATGCAGCAGAGGTAATAACCTGAATGTATATCAGCTTTTTTAGGATTTTTCCAATTTTATTCCTAAATAAATATATTTTGTTTTTAAGTACATTACTGCAGTTACCGCGGCAATAAAGGATAAAATGGATCTGGCAATTGGTTGTACGACTGGAAGTTCGATGGTATTGTATGGTATGATGAGGTGTCAACGACTATTTAACAGGGCTTAACATCCAATTATTTATTCTCGTTATATTGTAGCAAATTGCACTTTTAATTACTCCATTTTTGGTAGTCTTGGGTTGGACGCTCGATCAACCAATGACGTTGTTCTTTGATGTGTTTGAAACAGTTATTCTATTTATTTCGGTTTTGATAACGAATTATCTTATTCAGGTATTTTATTACTTAACTTCTATTCCTACTATAATTAATATTCGGAACCTTTTACTTATTGATTTAATTAAAGGACGGAAAATCTAATTGGTTGGAAGGTGTATTGTTGCTTTCCACGTACATTATTATCGTTCTTGCCTTTTACTTTTATCCCGAAGAAGACACTTCTCTTTAGTTGGCTGACTACAACTGATTTTCGTTATGAGACACACTTGATAAAGAAAATTCCCATATAAGAGACACAAATCAGAATCAAATAAATTGATAAAGGCCAATTTCTTATACATGTAATAGACGAATATTATCGTTATGTTTACTATCGTTATCAATACGTATTACATGTATATATTTGCAATTAATTTAAAATTGCTATCGCTATATAATAAAGTTTATCAAACACAACAGAATTTTCCGCGATAAGCTTATCGAATGCTTATATAGCACACGATCAAATAATTAAGCGTGTACAATAATTGCATTACTTGGTTTTCGTAAGAACTTTTACTATCAACCACACAAAAATATCTAATTATGTGATATGGTATCACACGTTTTCTCGGGTTGAATAAAATTCACAATGAGGAACTTGTGCATCATGACTTTCACCCTGGAAATATATTACGTACTGTATATTGGTACTGAAATTGCACCAAACCAGCAGATATAGGAAAATCTGATCAAAAAATTTGCGGAATGCTTCCTTATATGAGTCCAAAGGTACTGAATGGAAAATCATACTCTAAATTTGCAGATATTTATAATTATGGGATGACCTTGTACGCGACATCTAATGTATAATGGAATACGACCTACGATATCAAATAATGTATTGAAGAATGTTGGGACCCTATTCCAAAAAAAAGACTTTATCCGGTCAACTTACGATATCAATGGATTGTAGATGCTTTGTATTTTCAGTACTATAGCTCTTTATAGAACTATGGATAATCCTATTCGAATAAAAATAATATACAGTGGCCTGCAAAAATAACGCACCACTTACATTGCTAATCGTTGATTACCTGATTTTCACTCACATGCAATCCGATGAACGCAAAAATAATAGACAAAGACTGTGCTACAAATGGTAAATAAACGAAGACATATTGTTATGTCAGTTCGTCTATACGTAATCCATGTCGATCCGCCAAAGTGTTGTGCGTTTTTTTTGCCATTTTTATCAAGAATGTAAAAAATATGCTTTAACTTTTTTTTGAATATATAAATTCAAAAAAATTTAAAGGATTCCTTAGCATGTGTTCTATTAGAATTAACTATTTTTTTTAAAGATTTTAAAATATAATTACTGATAAAAGTATGAGAATACTCATTAATTAATAACAATAATTTTTTGAGTATTTTACTATGTAAAGTTAATTTTTTATTAATATAACAATCTTTTATATGATAATTAAATTTTTTTATAATGTTAAATTCTATAATATAATAAAAAATTTTGTTGTATTTTAAAATATAAATAATTATTTTACAGGTTTTAAAAGAAAAAATAATTTTTTAAATTTTTTGTAAATTATTAAAAAGAATAATTTTATGAAATAATTGATATACTGATTATTTATACTTTGAATAGAATTTTAGATACCATTTTTAGCGATATTTTTAAGTGCTAAAATTTTGATATATATTGCATGTTCACATGAAAATGTTAAAAAACCTAAAAGCTTAAAGTTAAAATAAATAATTTTAGTTTGAACTAACATTTTGTAAAGATTTGAAATCAATTGTTTGTCAGAGCTCAATTTCCTAATCAAATTTCAAATGGAATATAGTGATCTGGGAACAAGAATTGTTAACTCGCGATTTCATTAAATAAACTATAACTCCACTTATTATTTTACTTGTTTTACTTACATTATGAAGAATTTGATAGTATAGGCTTTAACTATATAATTATAGTACTAAACTATTAACACCAATACTTTCTTATAGTTAAAGCACCAAACTATCAATACTATTACTTTTAAAGAAAATATTTGAATGATTTAGGTCTATTTTTTTTATCTAGAAAAATTTAGTTTTCTCTCTCTACAGACATGTTTCATTTGAAAGTAATCGATTAATTGACTAACCATCATTATAAAGACAAAGATCACTTGAATAGGTAAAAGATATTGGCATAGAACTTTAATTTGTTCTTTCTCTCTTATAATATTAAACTTTTTTAATTTATCTATTAGAAAGCATACTGATAATATTATATATAATTTTTACAAGGAATGCAGTTTCATAAACAAAATTTTGAGATACAAGCTGTTTTTCATTTGTTTTTGTACTTTGCGTTATACAGATAGATTTGATTGGTTAAATTTTCATATCTACTCCTAATTACATATATATATATATATAGTACATGGAATCAGTAACTGTCATTACAATAGCAAATAGATTTGTTCACATTTTATATAATTATTGCTATTTTACTAGTAATAATGAAACCTTCTCTATTTAAATTTTATAATAAAGTATATACATAATAAGTTAATTAATTCATTATATCATAATACAATATACAAACAATAGCACTGCATCTCATTTTTTCATTTACTCCTTGTATCCATCACAAAAGTTAAAGTGGAATAGAAATTATTATTTCTCCGTCGATTTTTCTTACCCCTTTCCTTGAATTACAGTAGAAGAAAGAGTATAAGCTTCGAAATAGAAATCCAAAAATGAACAAACAATCTTCCAAGAAGTCAAAGCACTCATATGTATGCATAATTGAAACACAAAAAAGTCTCCGATCATTTGAACTTGAATATTATCCTTGAGACTTTTATCTAATTATTAACTCAATCATATTCTTTGTGGCAACTAAGTTTTATTGGAGTTGATTTTTATATTCTGGTTTGTTGATTGAGTGCAAAATTGGACGAAAACTAACTTTCCAATTTTAAGTATTTTGGCTGCTATTATACGAATACTAATACAAGCATTAAAAATGAAGGAGAAATACCAAACATTGTTCGAATATTATAGAATTAGTGATCGTTCGATCAACTAAACAAGAAATTTTCTAATTGATATCTCGAGATCCAAGCAGCACTAACACTCACCCCGAGAAGTTTTTTTAAAATACAAAAAAACTTATTGTCAATCTGGAATTCTACTACAATTCTTTTGTAGTTTGTGTTGACTTGAGTCGACTTTATGAAAGCTTCGAGTCATACGTATCAAGCAGCTCGACATTCTGGTTTATATACATGCAAGCAAATTATTATCGAGTAAAAGGTGTCACCTGTATTTGCAATATTAAGTTTCGAATTTATATTTATCTTGTCATTTTTGCTTCATATGTGCTGTATAATGAAGTACTTTTTTTATAATAACGATGTTTTAGAAAAACTCTTATATATGTGTATGTATAGAAAAATAAGAATTTTGACAGTATCCTTTTCCGATTTCAAACTGAAAGCATGGTTTTATAAATTGTTAATTTCAATTTATTTGTCGAAAGAGCAGAGATTTTACTTACGTATTAAAGAGGTTCAAGATTCATTTTCAAATTTACATAGTATCGAATTAATAAAAATTCCAGTCACAGAAACAACACTTTAAAAAAACGGAAAAGATCTTGAGTGAAAACATGTCAAAAATTTAACAAACTTACTTATTAAAGTTATCACTTGTATCTATTCACACTAGTCGTTAGTATTTATATAATACGTCATTTTTTGTTCCTTTTCCATAAGGTAGCCCTTGCACCTATTTCTGTGTACTCAATATCTCATAATTTTGTTATAAAAACCTACTTTAGGTTATTAATAAATATGTTCAGAATATAATTTTAGGTATATTTGTATTTTTCGATAGTAATTTATAATATAAATAAAAACGAGTTTGTTTTCGTGCACTTAATATCTCAAGATTTTATAAAAATGTAATTTAGGCTACAAAGGATTAACACAAAATTAGTATTATTAATTATGCAATAAATTAAATAAAAAATGAGAAATAAATATTTATGAAAAAATCTAAATTTGACTAAGTATATAATTAACAAACATATAGGTGCACGGAAATAGGACAGTATATTCTAAATTTATAAATTTTATTTCTTTTATTATTTCTTTTTTATATAAAAATTTTTATATAATTAAATACACTGGTTGTTATAGATTTGATGTGCAAAATTTTATAAACAAATATTAACTATATAAATTATTTTATATGTAACAATAAAAGTGCACGGAATAGGGCGGGCTACCTTATTTATAACATAAACCAACTCGAAAAAATAAACAAGAATTACTATTTTCAGATGATAATCGAATAAAAGATGAATTTCTTTCATAAACAAAGCTTAATGAAAATTAGCTCAGTTAATTACCGAAATGAGCAGATTTAAATAGTATTGTCTTCATATTTCTTTGCTTATTCCAAGAGTGTTCTCCAGACTCTACTGCTTTATATACTATTCAAATGCTTTTCGTTCCATTTGTAATATTCCTTCTCCGTATCAAATATTTAGGCTTTGCAAGTGTTAATTTATATGTTCCAAACGAAGGTAAATTTGCTTTTATTGTTTTCGGTAAATACAGTATCAGTAAATCAATCACGTCATGGTGAGTTTTTATAGTTGCTATTGCTATTAAATATAAAAATATTTGTTTGCGTACAAAACTAGCATATATAATTCCTGGATATGATATAGATATCTACAAGTTTCAGTTTGTATGTTCAAACGAAGCGGATGAAGATAAAATTTATTAGTTATATCACAACCATTGCTATCATTATCATTATAAATCTTATTGTTTGTGTTCACAAGGGCTTGATATCGATTGAGAAGTTCAAAAAATTTAAACATCCGAAATACAACGTAAGTTATTTTTAGTTATTTTTGATTGTCAATAAAACTATTGAGTTTTACTTTTATGGCATCGGACGATAAAACCAGCTCATAGATATCTAATTCATTGGAGCACTCTTTAACATAATGATAACAATAAAATAGAAGTTCTAATCACACAATCAGTACTTGAAGCAAGAAAGTTTTTAATAAATCACTGATTGTAGTAAATGCACTCGTTGTCAATGTTATAACGATAAGTACTGCAACGAATGTTCAGTTCACAATACTCATGATTGTAGTAAATGTTACGGTTGTCGAGAACGGGTAGTAAATGTACTCGTTGTCAAGAAAATGAGTTCTGC